TAGCTCGAGAAAATATTAGTTTAGATAATTAATTGCGCAATAATAATAATATTGATGAAAATGTCAAGAAGTGTGTATATTATGGAAGAAACGTTTTTAGTTTTTCTTACGTGAGAGGAAGGATTTAGGTGAAGTACCAACAAAAAGAAAAATTTAGGTCATATTGATCTAATCTTTTTTTGTTCATATAGAAATATGTATAAAGGATTTCCCAAGGAGTGACCTTCTCGGTAATAAAAGGTTATACTTTATCAAGAAGAAGAAAACAATAAAAGTTGAGAAATTATTGTGGAGGTAATTACATGATTTAATATTAGGTCTCAATATTAAAAAAAGTTGATAACTATTAAAGGAAAGAGACGACGTGAGAAGAAGCAAATTAGATCCACATCCATGATAGAAACGAAACCATTATAATAAACTTTTAAAAAATATATAAAATATTGATAGATGTGCTAATTGAAGACATCAAAGTCATTTGGTTTTTGTTTATTAAAATAATCTTTCTAATCGACCTTTTCATAAAACATAAAAAAGGAATAATAGTGGAATAGAAGAAAAGATTAGGAGATGGTAAAATGGGCCCAAGTCCAAGCCAAAGCAAAATGGGCCCACCTGAAATTGTGGAGAGCATACGTGAGAGAGAGGGTTTATTATACAACAATAATAATACTTATCCGTAAAATGTCAACTTGAAGAAAACAAGTTTTTGGAATCATCCTAAAGCTGTTTTTCTACGTTACACGTCTTTTTCTCGTCTGTATGTGAATGTGATTTGATATGCATAATTAATATGTATAATATATAGTCTCTTGTTCTCTCGTACCTAACACCGAGAAGCATGCAACACATATATATATACACAAAATTAATAATATAGAAAGTGTTGGTAAGGTTATCAAAACCATGATTGCGCTACAAACAAATTTAGTTTGATTCTGTAAAGATACGAACAATTCCATGGGTCATATGCGACTCTTTAAAACAATACTTAATAAATAAATAAAATGCATGTGAAGAAATGTATCCCACGATCGAGTTATATAATCAATTAATCATATTCATATGTTGCTTTGAATACACTTTAACTGTTTATATGTATTAAAATTTGTTTTTCTTAAAAGTATTTTTCGAAGAGTGTTTTTTTTACATTATAATTTTCAGAGAGTTATCAACCATGGTTTAAAAGTAAATATAGTACATCGTATACGTATCACTTTTCCAACAAAATATAGTACTATATGATTACATTTTTGCTAATCTATTTTATTGTAGCGCTAAATTCCTAATGTTTGTCAACTGAAAAGTTGATACATTTCTTCGAAGAATATGATCCATTGCAAAAGATCATTATCTAATGACCAAAAAAAAAAATCCATATAAAAATGCTTATTTAGGTCTCGATGCTTCCAACTCAAGAGTATGTTCCGACACGTCGATCATATTCACCAACTTAATATAAAAAAAATCGTCCCCGTCCTCAGTGTTTCTCCGTTGATATGTTCTCTATTTTCGTCTGACAGAACATATACGTGTTCACCAAAATTGCGGTTTTTAATTAGTATTTTGCATTGATTTGACTAATAACTTTGCACATTAAGGCGTACAATTCGAAGAACACACAATAAAGTTTTGTAGTTCGTAGCCTGACTTTCGCAAATGACTTTTAGTTTAGTTGGGCTGAACACCGAATTTTAGTCGGCCTTGGCCTTTATTTTAGTACTAACTAAATGTACTTTAGGTACATTATTTCGTGCGATCCTCACCACATATTCAACCTTTCCTCTACGTGAATAACTTTTTCTTCTTTTACGAAGTTGGTTTAACACATCTCCAATCTCACTCTAAATAGTGAAAATTACAAAAATACCATTTTTTATGTTCAAATTTGCAAAAATGTCACTAATTATAGATTTTTAAATCCTATATCTTAAAATTGTAAACACTAAAAAAATATTTTGATCCCTAAACCCCTCCTAAACCCGCATAACTAAACCCTAATAGAACATAGTTAACTCAAACATAAATAATATAAAATTTTTTTTTTTGAAAAAGTGGCATTTTTGTAAAGATTTCAAAAGTGTGGCACTTTTGTAAAATAACACTTGAAAAGTGGCATTTTTAAAAATTTATC